TGAGGGTCCCCAAACCGCTCACCCGCCCCCCCTGCGCTCGCTGCCGCAGCCCCGCTCCCAGCCCTGGGCAATGCTCCCGCTGCGTCCCAGCCCCGGCGCCCGGACATGCAGCCGCACTTGCACGCAGCCAGGGGGGCAACAGGACCTCTCTGCGTACCACACCGCAAACCCCGGCCACCGCCACGGGGACGGTAAGACGCGCTGCTGCTCCAGAGCCATCCTGCTCCCGGGGGAGCCACCATGCCGCCGGCAGCCCAGCGGAGAGCGGAGTTACCTCAGACCAGCCCCCGGGAGCCCATGGCCACCACTGCTCAAACAAATGCCAACCCACAGCCCCACTAGCGCACAAGGCTGGCAGTCTCCTGGCACCCCTCCGAGCCCCAGCGTCTTGTCCAAGGCCCTCTCCTGGCCCAGGGAAGAAAGGTCCCTTTTCTTTACAGTCTCCCTGTGCTCACGGCTGGATGCAGCTCTCTTCCTTCACTGCCCTCGAGACCGACATCGCTCCCAGGTCTGTTACGCAGCCACCTCCCACCCTGGCACAGCCGCACACCAGCAGTGGGCAAAGTGCTCCTCACATCTTGTGTGTAACGAGTGAAACCCACAGTAATGTTACCGCGGGAATCCATGCAGGACCCACCAACAGCTGCCCCGTGCAGCACACGATAGTTTAAACATTTACTGTACGTGTCTGGCTTTGATGAGGATCTGTAACCTGTCAGCTGCCGGTGTTTACCTTGGTGGACGTGCATGAGAAATCTCAGTCTGAATGGCCGGGAGTGTATTTTAGTGCCAGATAAACAGCTCTCCTTGAGAAATCACCCCATGACAGTAACCCCCCAAGACTAAACAGAGATCCGAGGACCACGCACTGTGCTTTGAGGAAACTTTCTGAGGTCAACGCCTCCTCCACTGGCTTCTCTCCACAGCTGGGACACCCCGGAGCTCCCTCGCGGGGCACAGGTAAGACCCGCACCGCATCGCTCCCCCTGCTCCCGCTTCCCCACAGGCTACAGACTGGGCATGTGTGGAGGCAGCACCACGTGCACACAGGACCCTCCTGGATGGGAGGAAAAAGTGACAGAAGGAAGAAGACACCAAATGCAGCTGCGTGAAACCTACACCACTAAAAACCCAAGCAAGTGAGCTTCCCACTGCGGCTGAGTCTGGGGACAGGGAGGAAAAGGGGAAAAAAGTGTATCTGAGACACAACCGACTTTCCACTGTGAAGGCAGCGAGGGTTCACATGCAGCACATGCCAGCTGTGTCCTGCTCAGCCGCCTTTGGATTTCTCTGCAGTAGGGAGGGCATCTCGTTTTCAGATGAAAAACCGCTTTCTGAGACAGAAAAAGAAAGTAGGAGTGGGAAGGAGGAGGTGTGAGTGTAACCTCAGCATCAGCAGGAACTGATGTTTAAAAAATAAAGTTACATGTTGAAGTTGTGCTGATCCACAGAACAAAGAATGATCCCAAATGCCTTGCAATGGTCAGAAATATCACCAGACTCTGCTTTAGCAGAGAAAACAAATCACTTTATACAACGCTGGAGAAACACAGGGATCTGGGCAAGTCAGGTGGGTGCAGGACACAGTTGTGATACCCGACGTTATGACTAAAGCGATGCCAAGGTCTCACAGGAGCTGGTTCAAATCTAGCCATGTTTGTCCGTACGAGCTGCTGTCACCTGGATGTGGGCATAGGGCACTCGGTGACACCACTGAGCTCCCCGACACAGCCGAGAGCGGAGCTCTTCCCGGCGAGCTGCGCCTGCCGAGCTGGCTCACGTTCCTCCTGCTCCGTGCGGGGACCCAGCACAGCTGTCCTGGGGACAGGCACCGATCCCCACCACCCCGAAGGCTCCTGTGAAAACCTTCACAGACATTTCGGATTGACCGGGGATGGGCACGGAGGCTGAGGTCTCCTCTCCTGGCTGCTCCTCTGCTCTCGCAGAGCCTGGTAACACTATATCTGGCCACTCGCCGCAGACTTACCCAGGGAGCCGCCTGCCAAGAAGTATTTCCATCCTCTGAATGCTGTCACCACAAAATTTCCCAATAACCAACTTACTCTGTGAGCAAGTTAATGTCTCAAGCCACTCCACCGAGGCCGTGAATACTTCTGGCGTGGCCTCTGCTCCCCGTTGTGTAACTGTCCCAGAGCACGGGGAGGATGTTTAGCAGCAGAGACTGATGACAAGCACACGGTTAAACTTTTATTTCCCTTCCCAGCACTTGCCCACCAGCAGGACACCGCCTCAGCGCGCTCCTCACACGCCTCCGAGGAGGCAACAGGCATCGCAGTGACCCGCTGGCAACGGAGCCGCCGCTGCCACCCGGCTAGTGCCCCTCGCTCCTCCTCCGGGACAGATGTCCCCAAGCCCAGAGCCCCTGGACTGGGGCGATGCCTCTGCGTCACTGCAGACCCAGGCACACAGCCCCTGCCCCAAACCAGCTGCGCTGGTCCCAGAGCCACTCGCTTCCTCCCCACCGGCTGGGAAGATCCCTCCAGTCTCTCCCCACAGATGCAGAGGGGCAGAGGCAGCTCCTACATCTCATCTCCCGCCTGCTCCTACATCTCACATCCTGCCTGCCCAGGGCAGGGCTCGGTGGTCCAACTCAGCCGCCTCTGAGCGCTCAGCCCATCAGCCGGGTGACCAGCGCATCCTGCTCCCCAGCCCTCTGCCCCCACAAACTGGTGCGTCTGTTACCGGTCCCAGCTACAGGCACGCGCATTCCTGGGAAACTATTACATGGGCTTCTTGGTGCTTTTCCCTGTTATAAAAAGTCTGTGCTGAACTTAGGACTTTTGGCATACCAAATCTGCAGGAGAGTTGAGAATTCATTTCCAGCAGAAAGGGTAATACGCCGGCATGCAGAGCAGGTTTGGGTTTGCATAGCGCGCTCTGGCACAGGGCACATTCAAGTGCTAATCCCCGAGGAATGCACACCTTGTTCAATATGCCTTTAATAACCTTCCGGGAAAGTTACATACACCAGCAAGGATGTCAAAACCAGTTAATTCTGGGTTTGATCTGAGAAAGCTAATATTTTTCCCTGCAATACGCTATTTTAAAATGAAGTTCTGTTTACCTATGATTGTCTGACTCACTCACTCAGTCATAATACATTTAGGACACAGCTTTCAAGTAGCTCTGCATTTTTTAAGCTCACTGCTTGGCCCTGGCTACACAAGGACTGGCTTTGGGTTTTTACACCCAGACTTGACAAGCAAGCATAACTTTGCTCAAAAGAAACCCAGCAGTACAAGCAATCTGGGGGAAGAAGGCAGCTGGTTTGCTCCTTCACGACTGCAACTGGAATAAGGGTCCATCCTACACATCGTTCCTGCAATTGCAAACAGCAATTGCAAACAGTAATTGCAGGCGGAGAGAGAAGTGAGAGTATGTGAGAGAAACAGCCCCACAGACACCCAGGGCAGTGAAGGAGGGGAGAAGGTGCTCCAGGCACTGGAGCAGAGGTTCCCCTGCAGCCTGGGGTGAAGACCATGGTGAGGCAGGCTGTCCCCCTGCAGCCCATGGAGGTCCACGGTGGAGCAGATATGCACCTGCAGCCCATGGAGGACCCCAGCCAGAGCAGATGGATGTGCCCAAAGGAAGCTGTGACCCCACGGCGGGGACCCCACGCTGGAGCAGGCTCCTGGCAGGACCTGTCACCCCGCAGGGGACCCACGCTGGAGCGGTCTGTTCCTGAAGGACTGCACCCCGCGGAGGGACCCGCGCAACACAAGAGCTCGGGAACATCAGGGTTAAGTTACAAACCCCCCCCAAGATCACCAAAGAACAGGCACTGCCACTTCTACCCCATCCCCGGACCGAGGGCAGCAGCGACGCCTCGCAGCCCGCAGCACCGCTGCCTCGGCGGGTGATCCTGCGCCTGGGGGCCTCATCCCGGCGGCATTTCTCCATGCAGGGCAGGAGAGACGCTGCAACACTGCGGCCAGGGTGATGCAGGAGCACAGGCACTGCCGCCGGGACCTCGCCACCCCGGTCCCTGGTCACGCTCGGCTGCAGGAGCCGGATACATCCCGTCCCGCGTCCCACGTCCCACGTCCCGCCACCCGCCTCCGCGCGCCGACACTGACATCTAGAGGCCCGCTCGCCTGGCCTCGGGGAAGGCCTGTGGGTGACGGTCACACCAGACACACTGCTAGCCGCTCTGCTCCCAGGGTGGAAGGGAAAGGCAGTGCTCTGGGATCCGGCCCACACAGGAGCCGCGCTGCCCTGCGCCCCCCAGCACAGCCTCCCCGAGCCCCCAGCGCTCCTCCTTACCAAACTCGCTGGCACACAGGTGCTCCACGATGGCTTCCGACTTCATCTCGTTGTCGCAAGGGGGACACACGGTTGTTCCTGGCAAGAGGAGAGAAGAGGTGGTGAGGAGCCAGCTCGAGGAGCACCGCAGGGCTGGGCTGCCCCTGCAGTCAGACCGCTGCCCTCGAGGGGGACATGTGCCCAGGCACCCTGCCGTGGAGTCCCAGGTCCCAGCGCTGCAGGAGGACCCTCTGCCGCAGGTCAGGAGCCGTCCACCAGCTCAGAGGGCAGCGCTGGCTGCGGGCATGCTCATGCCAGCCCCGCTCCAGCGCCGCCGGCCGGC